ATCACGCTGGACAAGCCTGAAAAAGATGCTGACGCTGCCAAGTATAGCACGTGGGCCGACCGTGCCATCGCTGAAGACCTAACCACCACCGGGACCATGGCACTGCTTGCTCTTCCAGCTTCAGCTACAAAATCCTGCGCACGGCTATGAAATCTCAGTGGGCACGGCGAAATCCCGTCGACAATGTGTTACGACCTTCCCTTTTCATTCAAATCGTACTATGTGGCTGCTGCATAACGCTGGACAAGCCTGAAAAAGAAGCTGACGGTGCCAAGTATAGCACGTGAGCCGACCGTGCCATCGCTGAAGACCTAAGCACCACCGGGACCATGGCACTGCTTGCTCTTCCAGCTTCAGCTACAAAATCCTGCGCACGGCTATGAAATCTCAGTGGGCACGGCGAAATCCCGTCGACGATGTGTTACGACCTTCCCTTTTTATTCAAATCGTACTATGTGGCTGCTGCATAACGCTGGACAAGCCTGAAAAAGAAGCTGACGGTGCCAAGTATAGCACGTGAGCCGACCGTGCCATCGCTGAAGACCTAACCACCACCGGGACCATGGCACTGTTTGCTCTTCCAGCTTCAGCTACAAAATCCTGCGCACGGCTATGAAATCTCAGTGGGCACGGCGAAATCCCGTCGACGATGTGTTACGACCTTCCCTTTTCATTCAAATCGTACTATGTGGCTGCTGCATAACGCTGGACAAGCCTGAAAAAGAAGCTGACGGTGCCAAGTATAGCACGTGAGCCGACCGTGCCATCGCTGAAGACCTAACCACCACCGGGACCATGGCACTGCTTGCTCTTCCAGCTTCAGCTACAAAATCCTGCGCACGGCTATGAAATCTCAGTGGGCACGGCGAAATCCCGTCGACGATGTGTTACGACCTTCCCTTTTCATTCAAATCGTACTATGTGGCTGCTGCATAACGCTGGACAAGCCTGAAAAAGAAGCTGACGGTGCCAAGTATAGCACGTGAGCCGACCGTGCCATCGCTGAAGACCTAAGCACCACCGGGACCATGGCACTGCTTGCTTTTCCAGCTTCAGCTACAAATTCCGGCGCACGGCTATGAAACCTCTGTGGGCACGGCGAAATCTCGTCGACGATGTGTTACGACCTTCCGCTTTTCGTTCAAATCGTTCTATGTGGCTGCTGCATCACGCTGGACAAGCCTGAAAAAGAAGCTGACGCTGCCAAGTATATAGCACGTGGGCCGACCTTGCCATCGCTGAAGACCTAACCACCACCGGGACCATGGCACTGCTGGCTCTTCCAGCTTCAGCTACAAAATCCTGCGCGGCTTTGAAATCTCTGTGTGCACGGCGAAATCCCGTCGACGATGTGTTACGACCTTCCGCTTTTCGTTCATATCGCACTAGGTGGCTGCTGCATCACGCTAGACAAGCCTGAAAAAGAAGCTGACGCTGCCAAGTATAGCACGTGGGCCGACCGTGCCATCGCTGAAGACCTAACCACCACCGGGACCATGGCACTGCTTGCTCTTCCAGCTTCAGCTACAAAATCCTACGCACGGCTATGAAATCTTTGTGGGAACGGCGAAATCCCGTTGACGATGGGTTACGACCTTCCCTTTTCGTTCAAATCGTACTATGTGGCTGCTGCATCACGCTGGATAAGCCTGAAAAAGAAGCTGACGCTGCCAAGTATAGCACGTGGGCCGACCGTGCCATCGCTGAAGACCTAACCGCCACCGGGACCATGGCACTGCTTGCTCTTCCAGCTTCAGCTACAAAATCCGGCGCATGGCTATGAAATCTCAGTGGGCACGACAAAATCCCGTCGACGATGTGTTACAACCTTCCGCTTTTCGTTCAAATCGTACTATGTGGCTGCTGCATCACGCTGGACAAGCCTGAAAAAGGGGCTGACGCTGCTAAGTATAGCACGTGAGCCGACTGTGCCATCGCTGAAGACCTAACCACCACCGGGACCATGGCACTGCTTGCTCTTCCAGCTTCAGCTACAAAATCCTGCGCACGGCTATGAACTCTCAGAGGGCACCACGAAATCCCGTCGACGATGTGTTACAACCTTCCGCTTTTCGTTGAGATCGTACTATGTGGCTGCTGCATCACGCTGGGCAAGCCTGATAAAGAAAAACGCAATCAATTATAGCATGTGGGCCGACCGTGCCATCGCAGAAGACCTAACCACCACCGGGACCATGGCACTGCTTGCTCTTCCAGCTTCAGCTACAAAATCCGGCGCACGGCTATGAAATCTCAGAGGGCACCACGAAATCCCGTCGACGATGTGTTACAACCTTCCGCTTTTCGTTGAGATCGTACTATGTGGCTGCTGCATCACGCTGGGCAAGCCTGATAAAGAAAAACGCAATCAATTATAGCATGTGGGCCGACCGTGCCATCGCAGAAGACCTAACCACCACCGGGACCATGGCACTGCTTGCTCTTCCAGCTTCAGCTACAAAATCCGGCGCACGGCTATGAAATCTCAGAGGGCACCACGAAATCCCGTCGACGATGTGTTACAACCTTCCGCTTTTCGTTGAGATCGTACTATGTGGCTGCTGCATCACGCTGGGCAAGCCTGATAAAGAAAAACGCAATCAATTATAGCATGTGGGCCGACCGTGCCATCGCAGAAGACCTAACCACCACCGGGACCATGGCACTGCTTGCTCTTCCAGCTTCAGCTACAAAATCCGGCGCACGGCTATGAAATCTCAGAGGGCACCACGAAATCCCGTCGACGATGTGTTACAACCTTCCGCTTTTCGTTCAGATCGTACTATGTGGCTGCTCCATCACGCTGGGCAAGCCCGAAAAACAAGCTGACGCTGCCAAGTATAGCACGTGGGCTGACCGTGCCATCGCTGAAGACCTAACCACCACCGAGACCATGCTTGCTCTTCCAGCTTCAGCTACAAAATCCTGCGCACGGCTATGAAATCTCATTGGGCGCGGCGAAATCCCGTCGATGATGTGTTACAACCTTCCGTTTTTCGTTCAGATCGTACAATGTGGCTGCTGCATCACGCCGGACAAGCCCGAAAAACAAGCTCAAGCTCCTAAGTAGGCACGTGGGCCGACCGTGCCATCGCTGGAGACCTAACCACCACCGGGACCATGCTTGCTCTTCCAGCTTCAGCTACAAAAGCCTGCGCACGGCTATGAAATCTCACTGGGCACGGCGAAATCCCGTCGACGATGTGTTACAGCCTTCCCTTTTTCGTTCAGATCGTACCATGTGGCTGCTGCATCACGCTGGACAAGCCCGAAAAACAAGCTGACGCTGCCAAGTACAGCACGTGGGTGGACCGTGCCATCCCTGAAGACCTAACCACCACCGGGACCATGCTTGCTCTTCCAGCTCCAGCTACAAGCCCGAAAAACAAGCTGACGCTGCCAAGTATAGCACGTCGGTCGACCGTGCCATCGCTGAAGATCTAACCACCACCGGGACCATGCTTGCTCTTCCAGCTTCAGCTACAAAATCCTGCGCACGGCTATGAAATCTCATTGGGCACGGCGAAATCCCGTCGATGATGTGTTACAACCTTCCGTTTTTCGTTCAGATCATACTATGTGGCCGCTGCATCACGCCGGACAAGCCCGAAAAACAAGCTGACGCTCCTAAGTAAGCGCGTGGGCGGACCGTGCCATCGCTGAAGACCTAACCATTACCGGGACCATGCTTGCTCTTCCAGCTTCAGCTACAAAAGCCTGCGCACGGCTATGAAATCTCACTGGGCACGGCGAAGTCCCGTCGACGACGTGTTACAACCTTCCGTTTTTCGTTTAGATCGTACTATGTGGCTGCTGCATCACGCCGGACAAGCCGGAAAAACAAGCTGACGCTGCCAAGTATAGCACGTGGGCCGACCGTGCCATCGCTGAAGACCTAACCACCACCGGGACCATGGCACTACCTGCTCTTCCAGCTTCAGCTGCAAAAGCCAGCGCACGGCCAGGGAATCTCAGTGGGCAAGGATAAATCCCGTCGACAATGTGTTACAACCTTCCGATTTTCGTTCGGTTTGGTTCAGATTGTTTCAAGGATAGGTACTAGTGTTACCGAAACGAGTGTCGATATATTATTGTTGCCCCGAGCCCCAGCGCCCTTGTAAATTATGTGAAAGAGTGCAAAAATCTGTTGCTTCGACTATTTGCTGGTGATAGCGGAAATATTTTCCCACTTTCTTTAGCGGAAACATTTTCCCAGTTTGAGTGGCCTCACGTGTGACATCACTGGGGTAAAATTTTCCGCTAAATTTAGCGCTAAATTTTCCCCTCTAAGTTCAGCGGGAAAATTTTCCACCAAATTTAGCGGAAAAATTTGCCCTTGAGACGCCATTATGAGAAACATCCCACAATGCAACGCGCGGTTACGCCGACGGCGACGCCGCTCGAGCCGGAAACGTGCGCTTAAGAGCTCTGCTCTAAAGCGTGTGTCAATTAAAATACTATTATAGCGCAGAGAAACACTTTTACAGCCAAAATTTCGCACGGTAGTTCTCTCCAGTCAATTTGAGATCTAAGCACGGTGCAAGCACGGGCGGGGTTTAGCGGACCGCGACCTCCACCTTCGCCACCTAAATTGCATCAAGTGGCATAAATATTGCTCCCAAAATACGTTTTCTTGTAATAAATGATATTTTTGTGAAATGCGTGTTCCATCTACGATTTTTACAAAAAAGTTTTTTCAGTGTTTTTTTATATTCCTACATATCGTACCAGATTGCGAAAGTATACCTCATGGTAATGGTGTGTTATATACTGAACTGTTGTGCATAATTACCAAAGATTTTTAATCACATATTTTGCGAAAACACATTTTTTGCTAGATATGAAATAATGAAGCCGCACAGCATTAAGATTTGTATTAGCAAATCCATTTTATATAGTCTATACTCTAAAGAGAGGAAACGTTTTATAAATGAACAAACAAGACATCATAAATCACCACAATCCGCAGCACATTGAGGAAACCGCGCTAATCGCCACGGCTATCGGCGACTGACGAAGCGCAGCATCTTTATAGAAGGATGACGAGATGATGTGGAAAGGCACCCGAGATCAGGCAGCTGTGCTCCATAATCAGGAAGCACACTGAACTTCTGCAGAATGGTCGCCAGGTACAGGAACATTTCGACGTTCGCCGGCATCTCTGCAGGACAAATTCTTTTTCCTGGAAGCAGTAATGTACGGTACTTTTTGTATATTGAAAGAAGTGGACTCTAAGCGTTGAACAGTTATCTACTGTTCATTATTTGTTGTCGTATAGATGACTATCCGTTTTAAAATTCCTGTAAGGGTACATGTGCGCAACTGAACTTCACGCTGGCGCGTACAACTCGAGTGATTTGGGTGAACATTGGTGACAAGCCAGCACGCACTTTCAGTTTCTTGGTTTTTAGCGCCATATTGGAAACTGCGGCATTCTCTTGATTGTTGATTCTGCCCTCACAGTGTTAACGTGAGTGCTAGTATGTTACTTTTACCTCCTCTACCGTTTTTTCCTCCTTCTTTTATCTCCTCATGCCCTTCCCCAAATCAAAGTAGTCAATCGAAGCAGGCCGCCTTGGTTAAGCTCTCTGTTTTCTCCTCCTGCCCTTATCTTCTACTCTATCTAAGCGTGCGACGTTAATTTAGGTTGGGTCAATATCATTTGAGCACATTATCTTGATCGATCCATTAATCAATCAATCAATAGATTGATTGATTGATTGATTGATTGATTGATTGATTGATTGATTGATTGATTGATTGATTGATTGATTGATTGATTGTACTTTCTCACCAAGCGAGAACGCGATGTGGTGTTCCGGTTTCTTCGAGAGTTCACTGCCGTCGGCTGTTAAGAATCGCTCTGGATGAAATCGATCCGGATTTTCCCAAAGCTCTGGATTTCTGTGTACTGCCATAACATTCGCCACCACCATCGTTCCTTCGGGAATCAGGTACTCCCCGATGAAGGTGTCTTTTTTCACTCTACAGAAATAAGAGGTCAGACAATCTTTAACGTAAAATGGGAATATTTGTGAGAAGTTCGTCCAACGTGTAGTCCATACAGCAGCAACAACAATTTTTTTTTACTGCCAGCACACTTTTATTTTTAATATCAACAAAAAGGTTTTATAATAGAAATTAAAATTAAGGAAAACGGATGGGGTTCTTTCTGTATTTGAAAAAAAAAAACACTTGAATCGTCTTTATTTAGCCTCCAGGCTTACGAATCTCAAAACTATATTCCAGATTGTTGAGCCAAGTATACCAGAAGAGTGATTTCAAAATTGCGCTGAAACCCCTCTTTCCCCTCGCATTCGGTGCGAGGAGGGCATCATGACGCATTAAACAAAGATGTCAACATTTCCGCGCTTTCCGCAGGCCTCACCCGAGCAGCCAAAAACGCTGCACGCGTTCCTTCACAAGCGGCAAACACAAGACAGCTGAAACCTCTGGGTTTGACGTCATGCCCAGCGGTTGTTTTTTTTCGGGTTTTTTCGCATCATTAATTAGTTCGACTCGAAGGCTTTTAATATTCAAATTCACAAAACAAAGATACGCTAGAATTTACCTCTTATTTTTCTTTTCAAGAACCTCTTCTATTTTCCTTTAAGTGAACTTTATAAAAATTGAAGAGTGGAAGAGTTTGGATGGCGAACTTTAGTTACAAAGCAGAAAAGTTCGAAAATGTTTCGTTTGATATGTATTGATAGACGTGCTAGTCCGCGTGAGATGTTGATATGGTACGTGTTAGGGGGATAATTGTGTGAACGTTCATGTTTAAGCTGAATGGCCCTTAAGTTATGATTGCATTGCTTGCGTTTGGTTGTTGCAAGGTCCTTGTTTGGTATACTTTTTTTTTTAATTAACACTTTTTGACAAGCCCGAAGTGCTACCAGTTCTGTATATATATACATTACCTAAAATATTAAAATAGGTATTTTTTTCAGGCTAACACATAAAAAGTAATCCTTTGTGATTTTTTTATATTTTCTTTTTTTGACACATATATAAATTAGCAGTACAAGATCTTTAATGACCCAACTGTATTTACCATTATTCTGCCACAATGTTACACAATTTAATGCCCTCGTTCATTACGCTTGACTAAAGCGTCAGAAAGCATCATGATGTACATTTAGAGCTTGATATCTTCCATATCCAATAGTTAAAAACGCCATCAATATTACACATGTACATTTACGCAAAAATATTCCAAAAGCCGGGAATCATAATGATAAACAAACTGCGCCGACTTTAATTAACAAGATGAACAATTTAATCAAACGTTTCGTCTCCCATGCGAGAAACATCATCAGGGAAACCTTCAAGCAGGAATGAGGGGAAAATCTTCAACAGTCCTATTTAAGCAATTCCGCGTACACACCGGGGAGGAGGCCGCGGTTGGAGTTGCAAGCCGATGAGTCACTTCGGATGAACCATGATTCCACGAACCTCCGTGGACCCCACCTTTGTTCACGCGCCAGAGTGGACGCATTCTCAAAGTCGAAACTGTGACCCGTATTCCAAAAATGGTCTACGAGTTCCGTCTTCGCTCTTGTCGCATGTGTGGCCTTCGCCACGTCCCTTTTATGTTCGTTTGGGCGAGTGCAGCGCCTCCGGCCTGTCTCGCCAATGTAGGTTGCGTTGGCCTAGCTCGGGATCACGTCCTAGACGAAGACGACATAATGGTTTCATTTGGTGTTGTGTCCTTGTTCACGAATGTCTCCACCTCTTGGGCTGTTGAGATAGCCGAAACACGCCTACGTAGGAACGACAGCCTCACCTCACGCACATAGTTAGTGGTGGATGATATTGTAATTTTGCTGCATTTTTGTCTTAAACAGTCGCATTTTACGTTTCGCGGACATATTTATCACCAAATTGAAAAGTGTCTAATGGGGAGCCCAATTTCTGTTGCAATGGCAAATCTTGTTATGGAGTATGTGGAAGAAACTGTCCTTGAACAGAGTGTGCACCCGATAGGGTTTTACAAACAGTATGTGGACGACACCTTTGTAATTTTAAACAAGGACCATGTTGCTGACTTTCATTTAGCTTTAAACAGCGTTGAATCATCAATCTAATTCACACATGAAGTTGAACAGAACGGTGCGCCGCCTTTTCTGGACGTGAATCTGTTCCGAAATAGTACCGGTCGCTCAGATACAACAGTGTACCGCAAAGCGTGCGATACAGGACACCTCTTAAGCTTTAACTCACATCATTCTGTCGAACATAAAAGGGCTGTCGTAAAAACCCTACTACATCGGTCCGAACGCATTTCTTCTAATCCTCAATTGCGCGCTTCTGAAGATGCTGTTATTGTTGACCTGTTAATGAAGCGGAATTATCGGAAACGTTTTATTCATAACACGCGCAAACAGATGGGACAAAGAAGTCAGGATAATGGACGACTTAGGACAGGGCAAGTAACAATAAACTTTTTGAAAGGTGTTTCTGAGTCCATTCGCAGGGCCCTCGCCCCTTTGGATATCCGCACGGCTTTCAAACCCCATCGTAAACTAAGTGACCTCATTTCTAGACCTAAAGATTACCCCCCTCCCAGAGTCCCAGTGCGGTGTTGTGTATAAAGTGAACTGTCTAGACTGTGACGCATCTTAAATTGGGGAGACAGGCCGGAGGCGCTGCTCTCGCCTAAACAAACACAAAAGGGACGCGGCGAAGGCCACGCATGCGACAAGAGCGAAGACGGAACTGTTAGACCATTGTTGGAATTGGGGTCACAGTTTCGACTTTGAGAATGCGTCCACTCTGACGCGTGAACAAAGGTGGGGTCCACGCAGGTTCGTGGAATCATGGTTCATTCGAAGTGACTCATCGGCCTGCATCTCGAACCGCGGGGTTGCCAGGTTGGGCTATTAATAGCCCAATTGGGTTACTTTGTCATGCATTTGGCGTCGAAATTGGGCGGTTGACTATGTGGCGATTTTTGGGCGATTTCAGACCTAACGCGGCACTTTTTTTTCTTTTTTTGTGTGACAATTCACCCTTTCTGGATTCCCGCTTTCAGGAATTTCCTGCGTGAAGATTCGTGGGTGTGATGCCAGAACCTATTAGCTCAAGTCAGCTAGCGTGACCTAGATTCAGCTCCGACGACATTCCTTTTGTATTAATTCTCGCTTTTAGAGCGCAGCTCTTAGGCGTCCGTTCCGGCTTGAACGGCGTCGCCGTCACCGTCGGCGTCGCCGTCAGCGTAACCACGCGTTGCATGCAACTCAGGTTGCATGCAACCCGCGTTGCAAGCCACTCGCCGCCGTCTACGTAACAATACGTTGCATGCAACCCAAATTGCATTCAGCCCCAGTTGCATGCAACCCGCGTTGCAAGCAACCCTCCGGAGTTGCCTTGCATGCAACCCGGCGACTCCGGCGGTTGCATGCAACCCGGCGACGCCCCCAAGGTCACGTGGCCTCGGGGGGTCACGTGACCTTAAACTCCAACTCAAACCCTTTATTTCTCTCCATTTAAAGAGGGGAGACAAAGAAAAAAGCAACTCAGTTGTTGCTTGCCAGCCTCTGCCTCCCCACAGCAGCGAAAGAGGACAGCATGTACAGTCTCCGGCAATATGAAAGACCCACTGGGAGCGCGTGGCCGAGGTGGTGGTTGGCGGGGGCGCTGCGAGCGCTCCGGGCAGTTCCATTCTGCTTCAAGGGGAGGACGCTCACTCGGGGCTCAGCTAAAGCGCGCTCCTATCGGTTTGTGCTGAGCTTGAGTGAGCGTCCTCCCCTCGAAGCAGAATGGAATTGCCCGGAGCGCTCCCAGCGCCCCCGCCAGCCACCGCCTCGGCCACGCGCTCCCAGTGGGTCTTTCATATCGCCGGAGACTGTACATACAAATGTTTTTTTCACCATCACACTTGTAGCACAAAAATAAACAACATTAGATGGGGGAGGGGGGAAGGGGGAAAAGTAATCGATTTAGCCAAGTTTACAAATTCCAGGGGCACTCTCTCCCAAACATGGAACGTACATTGACCACGTGACCCTCCGAGGTCACGTGACCCCCCACGTCACGCGACACCCCCAGATCACGTGACTCCCCAGGTCACGTGACCCTTAGGTCACGCGACACCCCCAGATCACGTGGCCCCCCAGGTCCGGGGGTCACGTGACCCCCTCCCTCCTCCCGAGATCACGTGACCCCCGTGAGGGGAGGAGGAGACAGGAGGGGAGCAGGGAGGATGAGCAGGGGGGACGAATCCGATTTTTCATTACTCCGAAAAATGATTTTAAAAGACTCTTCTCTCTTGTCCCTCGGCCGGCTTCGAACCGTAGTCTTTTCGTTCAGTAGCCCCACGCGGTACCTCTCCGCCAAACTTAAATAATTGAAAAACCCTGCAGCACGAAAATAAAAGAACAAAAAGAAACTAAAAGCCCCTTCATGTCTTAAAAGTAGCGCACGGTGCGTCGATGTACAAGACACGTGCAACGTGCAGACTTTGGAAAGATCATGGCGGCTCAGCGCAGATTCAAGCTAGATTTCAGATGCCATGTTCTTCCCAGAATTGGCGCGCGGCACGTGTCTCGAGCATTTCCACAACAATCAATGCCCCCACTTTTCTCACGATAGAGGGGCTTTGCCAGCTGCTGCTGAACGTGCTGCCCGAGCAGGGGCTCAGCGCCGCCGGCGCCATGATCCAGCATGAGTGATATCACAACGACGACGACGACGAGACGTAATCAGGCAGTTCTTTTTCACAAAATGAGCGACTCAGATGAAGCAGCTGCAGCTAAACGCACTGCCCAAGCAGAGGCTCAGCGCCGCCGGCGCCAAGATCCTGCAGTGCGTGCCGCCGAAGCTGAAGCTAAACGGCGCCGTCGACAGACCCGGAAGTGCGCGACGCCGAAGCAGAGGCTCATCGCCGCCGCAGAGAGCAGCCAGGAGAGAGCGCCGCCGAAGCGGAAGCCAGGAGCCCTATTGAGAGGGCCAGGAAGTGCGCGACGCCGAAGCAGAGGCTCATC